CAGCAACAGGCCGAGAGTGCCCAGGCAGCTTCACCCGCTGCGGTCAATGATGGTGTTTGCTGGTCTGCTTTCCTCCCCCATGCATGATGGGCGACTGCCTTAAAGGGTGGCACCATCACCACCTGTAGAGGGCGCACACTGACAAAAGACAATGTACATAATGGAATTCAAATAAACTTAAATGCGGCTCCTACAGTAAGCTTTTTAGCCATATCTGCCCACAACTCTTTCTTATTTTTCCGGCCAAGCCTGAGTCGGCTGTTGAGGTCCTTCATTGACTTTGGGAGACCCTCTCCCTCCCTCTCCAAATGTAGTCTCATCAGGTCAACCATGAAGAGCGTGTGCTCCTTTGTAAAGAAGTCATGCTTCGGCATGGGCAGAGGTGTGGGAATCTTAGCAGAGGGTGCCTCAGGGCAGTTGCATTATTAACATCCTTAATAATGTTATTCTTATGATTATACTACTATGATTATTTCCATTATCTTACCAGCTTCGACAAGGTTGACCTTTATCGATAGTTCACCATCAGCATAGTATGCTGTGGGGTCAGCTTCATGCTGGTACAAAGGAGTGGGGAACGGCAGGGTCGTCTGTGGGTTCAGGAACAGGTTGGTGTTCTCATCTAAATACACTAAAACACACACACGTAATTACATTATAGCCATGAGTTAGCTGGAGATCTCAACTATTAATTAAAGTACTATGGATGTAAAAAACCGTCAGACATTTATGCACAAAATATAAACATTTTCCACACATGAACATGTAATAGTACTGACCACAACTGGTTTGCCAATCCTTGACCTATGTTTTCAGGTCTCAACTAATTATCACACATATAACAACCCTGAGAAAAACGATTGCCTTTGGAATGTGTTATGAGGTTTCCTTTGTGTCCAGGGTTGGGGAAGTGCTTTGCTCTAACCAGGTAGCCTGGTCAACACATTTTGTAACATTTAGGATTCACCCAGTTAGTGACTTTAATATGCTTGGAAAATAGTATCTTTCTGTGTTTAAACGGTAATCAAATATAGACACATTGATCACAGAGAAATTACCCAAGATTTCACAATGTGATTGGTTGCAATAGGCAGTTTGGACGTTATGTAACGTTTATAGTGATTATCTGGTTTACGGTGCACCCACCACGAATTTCACATGTTCATTACATATTACACAATCATATTTCACAGTTTGATATCTGAATATTCTGTTTTAATTAACGTTAACGTTAGGCTACTGCTCTGCTTTCTCGGCACTATTGTCATAGCAACATGGAGCGTCTCTAGCCAATTTCAGCTGCACAAGCTGCAAAATAACTAATTAGGCGTATTTAACACATAATAAGACTGTAGCGACATGCCTTTGGGTAACAGTATACAGTGCTGTGTGTATGACTTCTTCATTTGGTTACAACAAAGACAAAAGTACTTAAAATAGTAGAAAACCACAATGTTTACTTATGTGTGATGCTCGGAGAAGCCATCTTGGTAACTAAACTCGGGGTCCTCTGAGTTCAGACGACTTGACGAATCGTTATATACGACCTCGGGGGCGTTCTGTTCGCAACTCAGGAAACCGACTCGCACATAGAGTTCGGTGGACAAATAGAACGCACCATTATCTCCTGGAAGAAAGCCTTTACGGCATGGTTAAATCCACTACAATTGGTTGTTATTTAAATGACTCATCTAAACTCTGCAAAACTGTCTCTGTTATTTGCTAGGATACATGTGTTGTTGCTTCACATTCAATTTCTTGCATATTAATTATATTATAATAGATTCAACCATATAAAAATAATCTAATTTAATGATGAAGTATACAGAAGGGAAAACAGAAACATTCAAACAGTTACAGGCAACACTCAAATAACTCAGGTTCCTCATCTTAAACTTTCTGAGTCATAGACCACAGGTAACGTGTAAATACCATATTGACCTTGTCTGTGAAACACTATGAAGGCAATTGGTAGTCTTGAATAGGGCTGTTGTTAAATCATTCCTGTATTCTATAATGTATCTTTATATTATGTATTGGCATGCTATTTGGGTTATAAAATGTTCCACCTATCTCAATAAGATTTTTTCTAAATCATTAGCTGTGCTAAAGATTCGACTCATCTGCTACTTTATCAATTTAATTTGTATATACTTCTATCAGACTCTTTAAGGACTTTAATACTCCAATCTTTCATATTGTTGCATTTTCCTTAATCCATATTCATTGAAATCTACTTCGACTACACTCAATATCTATCTTAACATTATTCAAAATATCTCTGAAAATCAATCTAATAGTTAGGCTTAAATGTTTTAACCTTTTTATTGTATGATTATATTTATAAAGGGGAGGTAGTTTATGCAAAACTTTGTTCAACTATGAATTCTGTTCGGTTTTCCTTCCTGGTCTGACAAGGTTTTTCACTATACCTCCACTAGCTGGAAGTTGGGTTTACATTTATTTGAAGAAGTTCTAAAAGGCTTTGAATTAGACTTTTTAAACAATGCAACCCACTAATGTTGTTCATCTTTAGCTGTAAGGAGCAAATTTGAAAGATTAGGATTAACACTTCAGGGTGAAATTAGACATTGTTAGTCGAATAGTTTCCTAATGTGATACTGAAAGATTAGGACAGTACAAACATGCAGGACATAGAAATTAGAGGACGCAATAGAGTCTAAGAATCCTAGCCAAAGGGAAGTAGGTTCAACTCTTTTTTTTTTTTTAAGTCATTAAAGGCTGTTGTTGCCTCAGGAATCCAAGTCAAAAAGTCACTATAGTCAAAAGTCTTCCTCATGTATGATGTCATACAGGGGTCGGGAGATCTCAGAGATATCATTAATTTGTTTTCTATACGCGTTTATGGACTATCCAAAATTGTCTGGATGTGGTACTGACCTCATTTTCAAACCTCCGGATTATATGGCCATAGTGAACTGATTGCAAAACGAGTGGCTTCTTTTCAAATAAACATTATGATCATTTTCTATCTAAAACAAAACAAAGACACTGTGTCAGTTTGACAATCCCTTTTGGTAAGGGAGCACACGCTTAAAGATTGTCAACCTACTGAACCGATCTATGAGAGGCAGGACCAATGTCTTCAACAGCTTCAAGGTTGAGGTGATATATTCTTTTACATGGTCTAATGTAGAGTTGCACTCTATTTTTTCCAATCAGACTTGCTACAAGTCCACAAACAGTCAGAACTATTGAAAGCAACGCTTTGACTATGGAAACATTTTCTCCTGAGTCTACAAAGAATCTCACAATAACACTTAGTACATTAAGAGTTGTGCTAAAGTTGTCTTAGCGTCTAGTGTTAACTGTAGTGTAGTAACAACTGGTTTGTCATTGTCATCATTTATCTTCTCCTTGTGTTTGTATCTGTGTCTATGTCTTTGTGCTATTCAATGCTTTGACCTGCCCCCACTGTCTCCTATGGTTGCGCCTGTTGTCCTTTTGTTGGTGCCTCTGGCCAAAATTCCTCTGGATCTGAAGTAATGAAGGCAGAGAAATCTGTCCACATACTCCCTCTACCACAGTTTTTCCTGACTGCCATCTCTCTCCAGTGCTCTTTGTTTTCTCATCTGGTTAAATCCACGTTCCCCTTGTTTCTTTCAACTTGCAAGATATGTGTCCAGACAGTCACCAACCCCAGCCTGGGAATGTCATCATTGCACTCCTTTCCCAGTCACTGTTGTAGGATTCAGAGAGATTGGACAGGACAGGGTACAGTAGGTCTTCCTGGAGTTGCTAAGCTAGAGGGCTTCTTCCCCTCCTGTAGGCATTCTTGCATGCAGGAGACAGCATATGGATCGTCTTGTTCCTCGTCAGTGAGTATTGTCAAGCCTTGTAATTCAGAGTCCATGTTTTTTCCCTGTACCTATCGACGTTAGACTTTTTGTTTGTATTTTTGAAATCCTCGTAGAGAGTGACTTTTGTTGAGAAAATAAATATATATTTTTTCCAACTTGGTCTGTGGCTGAGTTGTGCATTTGGGACCACCTGTATAGTGTCAGAGGTTGTGACAATTGATCAGTAAAATATTCAATTTGAGCTACATCCTCGTTGGTCATCATTTGAAGCTTCCACTACACAACAACTTGTGTCTTGCCCTTTTTTAATTTTTGCTAACACTTTAATCCTCTTGATAACTAGTGCTGGCACTACACAAGTAAAACAGATTTTTAAAAAATGGAATTAAAATCCACATTTAAGGAAGTGACACTCAAGTTATGTAATGCTATTACCCTGTATGGATTTTCCAAATATTAAATTAACTAGTAGACCTCACAAATAAAATATGGACAAACAAAAACTAAGAAACACTACACTGGTGGGTGAAGGGTGAATTAAGTAGGGCTGCCCCCTAATAGTTGACTTACCTGCGTTCAGGAGCTGCGACTGAAGTTTCAGAGGATTGTTGCAACATGGACCTTTCCTCTTATAACAGGAAGTCTCTTACCACTGCACTGCTGCATATACTAACTGTACTAGCTGCTATTAGCTAGTCAGCGGCCCTATTGGCTGCCTGCACCCGGACTGGGAGCTGGAAGGACGCCAGCTGATGTCCAGCAGCTCCGACCAGGACTCTGACTCTGGGGATGACAACATGGTGGGTTCAGGCAGTGAAAGGAGAGAGCAAGTGTCGGGGCGTGTGTTTGGTGACCGCTCAGGGGACACTATCAATCATTTTCAGAAGGTCCCATCTACATGGTTCTTGTAACCTTTGGACACTTGGTCTATTTGTCTCGACTTTGCCAGAAGAAGATAATACAGGAAGAAAGCTCAAGTTAGAAGTCAGTGACTCAGTTTGTGTTTGTGTTGATGCAGTCTGGTTGTTGCTCAGTTTCACTGCTGATGACTAAATTGTGACGTTACAGCTCAAAATAAATAACGGTAATTATTGCCTGTTAAATACAGTTCAGTGAACTTAAATATAATTTGATGTCATGAAGTGTAAATGCGTTGCACAATAATGGGAATCATACTGATTGATTAGACAAACTTTAATGTATTTGTATGATTTAACATAAAATACCAGGGATGCACAGAGAATTAAAATTGACCCTGGATTTTTAATTCAGACAATAAAAAATGTAATCAGTGATACAACCAACACCACATATAAAAGCAAATACATGAAGATGTCAATAGTTCTTCAGGATAACTGTATAACACAGAGCTAAAATTATCTATAAACAATATAATTTCAGGGCTATCAAAGCCTTTACAGATCAATTCAATTTGTTACAATGTCACACTGTCAATTATTCACTCAAACAATAATTTTGAATAATGTTCCATGTATCAACTGTCCACAAACGATGAATAAAGTATTTGCACGTGTTCTGCATTTAAAAAACAGTGTATTGTTTAAGATTCTTTCTGTTAAAAATAAAATGTACACCCTTTCACCACTGTTCTGTTTTTAAGGACTTTGATGATCTCTGACTAATCAGATCAGATACCTTCAGGTGGCATGAGTTCAGTCACCTTGTTTATGATAATATCAAGGAAACGTTTCACACCTGGATATTCTTTTTCTATGTTATCTAGACCCTCAACGATTTTGGTCTCCAAATATGCCAATACTGCCATGCGATCACTTTTGATCTTTTTTATCTCAGGTTCTTTCATTACTTCTGTTAAGGCAGCCAAAGCTTCTTCAAACATTTCATTGCTGTAGCAGCCTCCATTTTCCTTGACCATGTTGTCGATCTTCTCCAGTAGGCCGGCAGCTTGGGACTCCTTATCCTCGCTTTTATTGTTGAAGGCATGATATGCCTTACAGGACTCCTTGATGAACGTTTTAAGAACATTGTTGTCTTTAATGAAGTCCTGAACCTTACCATCACTACCACAATCGGTGAACAGGACAATAGTATGCTTTGCTGCATTTTGGAAGAGTTGCTTAAATTTTTTTAACACTTCTTCATCTTCTGGAAAGAAGTCATGTGTCTGTAGCACCAATATGAACACATGAGGACCGGGGGTTAATGATAAAATGCATTGTTGCATCTCTTTCTGCAGATCTTTCTGATTTTTGTGTGTATGAAACAGACCTGGAGTATCAACAACAACCAGTTTCTTTCCATCAATCTCTCTGGTCTTACACTCAGACTTTCCTGTCACAGATTCAGAAGACCGTTTAGACTTGAACTCATCCCTCCCAAGGATGGTGTTTCCTGACGCACTCTTCCCAACTCCAGTCTTTCCCAAGAGCACAATCCTCACCTCCGACTCCTCTGAATCTGTTGGAAAATTTTAAACATATTGATTGATATTATAAAAAGTTTTATCGGCAATGACCACACACACACACACACACACACACACACACACACACAGTGTTAATGCACTCTGTGGGAACAATGTACCTGTGGGAACAAATTACCTCTTGGGGACAATTAATATAACTCATTTTAATATTACCAATTATTACTATCATTTTTAGTTGTAGGATAATTATCGTCACTCCCTTAATATTAACTTTATTGCTGTTGCTACAGCTAAGTATTATTGTTATTAAAATGGTAATTGTTATTATCACCATTAATTGTTTTTGTCTTTTTTCCTTCTTTTTCTGGTTTCTCTCATTAATAATGTTACTTTATTGTATTATACATACAAACATATTTATTATTAGTAGTAATGGTAATAGCACTATTATTGTTGGTTGTTGTTGTTATAACTTATTATAACTTATTATTATTAATTTTCTCTTCATGTATGGAGAGAAAATAGGCGATTTATAATGATTGGTGGTGGGGCTGGACTGGCTTGGCCAGGGGATGTTGTGGGTAGTTTAATGATAATGTATAATAATGAAATAATAATAATATAATGATTTATTCATATTATGTAATTACTATATTACCATAATGTATATACATATATATATTAGGGCTGGGACTTTGTCACGTTAATTACGATTAATTAATTAAATAATTATTACAGAAAAAATAACGCAACAAAAAAAATAACGCATTTAATCGCAATTTATTTTTGCACTGCAAACAGCGCAGAACGTTGCTCGTTGCACGAGTTCCCGGCAAACCCGTAATACTGATGCACAGGACACAACACGAGAAATGGAAACCGATGAGAAGTTGTTGCTGGGTTCGGTGCGTGGAAATTTTAGATTTAAAAAACTACCGGGTGGAAACCTGGATAAAAGCACAGTTGTGTGCAAATTGTGCAAGAAAGAATTTGCCTATCACCGGAGCACTTCCAGCCTCCGCTACCACCTCAATGCCAAACATGTTGCAGCTAGCACAGACAACGCTCCTAGTTTCAAGCAGGAACACAATTTTGTTGTTTAAGCTCATTTGTGTCTATTCATTGATTCAGTCATATACCAAAATCCATTTAAATTGAAAAATTTTGCTTCTTGTGTCAAATATTGATATGCGATTAATTGAGATTAATTAATTACAAAGCCTCTAATTAATTAGATTATTTTTTTTAAATCAAGTCCCACCACTAATATATATATATATATATATATATATATATATATTTGTTCCACTTTACTTATTTGGTTATTTATTTAATACATGATACAATTATAGCCATTATAATTATTATAATATATATACTTTTTTAACTATATACTTTCTCTTCTCCATACCCCCACAGGCTCTCATGCACACACTGTTATGCCCACCCATATTGCTTACAATGCTGTCATTGTTTAATGTTTTGTCCTGCTATATGTTGCTTGTATGTGTATTCAAGCACATTAGTGAACAGTAATCACTTGTCACCAATGTATCAAGTATATCACTAATAAAAACATATTTTTTTTATTATTTTACCTGCTTTTAAAGCACTTTATAGGCCTACACTGATGTATATGTAATACCACATACATGATACAAGTGTGCTTTCAAAGTGCAGGCAGTGGCCAGCCAGCTTTTAACTGTTACGCTCCGAGCCGCAGGAGGATCTGAGAGCAGCTGGTTGGTGTTGGAATAGTTAAAAATAGTGCCGGGAAATTTGGGTGCCATGTGCTAAACATATTGTTTGTTTGTATATTCTCATATTCTCTAATATAAGGAACAACACAGTGAATACAACAAATGAGGCCTGTGAAGACTTTCAAATGACAAAAGAAATAAAGTTATCAGTTGCAGAGTAGGTGGTCAGTAAAATAAATATGTTTAAATGTGAAAATTGAGAGGACTTTAAAACATCTGTGATGTTAATGATATATGAAAACATTAGTAATAAGAAGAGAATAAGTTGTTGCTCTGCAGGTTTGTCAAACTGAGCACAATATATGACATATACTTACGAGGCTGAAGAAGTTTGCTGGCCATCTTTGTCTTGTAAAAGCAGTTGATCTGTGATGTCTTGATGCTGTTGATGTCTTGTTGGTGAATAGTTGGTCATTTCATCCTTATACATTATAAAGTCTGTGCAGTTCCCTCCCCTCAAACATGTCATCTGTTACCTAGCCAGTTTGACGAGAGAAGGCACAGAGAGCCAACCAGTCACAGATCAGAAATCAAAATGTAGCTTCAAGCAGCAAATCAGAGACCAAAGAAAACGGCATCAAACTAAATACATTTTCTGTTGGGTTTGACAGTTAGTTTACTAGTTCTATTTGTTTTTATGTTTAGATGGTGATGATTAATGTGGATTTTGTATTTTATATATTACGGTTTCCTTGCATGTAACTATTCACACGTGGTATGTGTGCTATGCAGACTGGGGGAGTAATGGATTACATGTAACAGAGTTGTGTAATCAGGGTTCAAGCAAAAGTAAGACTGTCCAACCTTGTCCATTGAGATGGCCATGACACCTGTGGTAGCTATTAGGTAAATAAAAGTATGATCTTGTCTTTTTGTAAGGTTTATTCAGCATCTATAGATGCACGCACACAACGCTCACATACACCAGTAAATGAAGGCTTGAAATGAGTGAAAATTCAAATAGGGAGTGTCCCTTTATCCTTGCCTCCAGTTACATTTCAGATCTCCTTGTTCCTCATTCTACTCCTCTCGGCCTTTTATCCTTTCCCCACTCGAACTGCAAAACTAAAGGTGACCGTGCCGTTGCTGTTTTAACCCCAACATTGTGGAATAGTCTTCTCCAATCACTCAGATTCACTGAATCCGTGGACTCAGTCTGTGGACTGTTTTAAGCAGCTCCTTAAAAACCCACCTCTACAGGCAAGCCTTTTTGTTTGTTTTCTCATCTGTTTTCTCTCTTTTAATTTATCCTTCCCTCTTGTTTTATCTTCCTTATGTTTATATTTACATGTTCCCTATGTATGTTTGATTGGGTATGGTTATACCCATATGTATATTTGTTGTTTGTGAAGCACTTTGGACCTGTGTGTTAAAAAGAAATAAACTATAAATAAACCACTGGCTTAATTCATTATCAGACTACGCAAACCTAAAAAAGCTCACATCAATCTTAAGAGACAATCTGATTACATTCCATAACATCTGGTTCTCTACCACTCTGATTTTATCAACCCCCATTATAACTCAAACTGACAAAACATGCATGCCCAACATTCCCCATCAGGACTTGTACCCACACCCCCTCACACACACTTGGTTTTGCTTTTTTGTTTTTCTTCCTGCCTCCTTTTTTTGTTTGTTTGTGCATTTATCCATTGTCCTAATGTCCCTGAATTTTGTAAATTATTTGGCTTTGTAAATACTTGTGTGTATTTGAAGAATTTCACAAATCTGGCTTAAATTTTTCAGTTTAAGGGACAAATTATCTCTTTACATAGTGCTCTAGGACAGATGAGATTTCTGCATATTTTGATATAAAACACATGGGTATCATGTTATGCAAGTGTCTTTAAAGGTGAAAAGATTTGTAAAAATCGAGAAAATGCCCTTAGACCCCAAAGGGTGCATATCAAGCAGAACAGTGTTGTACCGGAGCCAATTTGGTGTTGATTTGAAGTTTTTCGTTTAAGCAAAATCATTGACACAGTGTGTGGAACCAGTTGGTACTGTATCAGAACTGAGGTCACGTACCGCTCATCTGTCAACAGTCTGTGTGAATGACTTGTTACAGTCTGACAGGTCCAGTGTTGTTGTTGAGTCTGGAGAGCTAGCTTTAAGTCAGCAATTGCTTTTTCATCTTCAGGCGTTCAATGGACGTCTTTTACAGCAAGGAATTTCCCATTAACAATTGTTATGTATAATACAGGAACCACTGGGGCTGTCCTTTGAAGGCAAAGGACAATGCAATTGTTTTTGTTTTGTTTTGTTCTGTAGATTTGTTAATTGTGGATAGCTTGTTTCTTTGTTGAGTGTATGGTGTTGCCTGCAGGTGCAGTGAACATGAATTTCCCCCTTTGAGGACAATAAATTGAATTGATTGATTGATTGATTGAAACCAATACTGACTGGCACGTTCAACCGGGATGCTGAAGAAATACATTAGCCAAATCAACAGAAAACCATTTACTGTCAGATTGAAAGAGAGGATTGTGTGTATTTGGAAAATTTGGTGCATGGATTGCAGCATTTACAGCTTGAAAATACTGAACAAATCTCCTCTTCTCTGGCTGGCCAGTATCTCTGAACTATTTGACAGAAAAAATTGTTGATCGAACTGGAGATTTTTCAAACGGAAAAATCACTCAAAAACCAGTGAGATGCCTTCAATTGCTTTCTCTTTTAAATGATATTAATGGTCTGTATGAGAATTTGGTGTTATCACAACAGGCTCTGCCCTTTTAATTCGACCTACATCATACTTGTTTTGTGCCCACAAGCCTGATGGCACCTGATTTAGTTCAATTCAGTTCAATAAAATGTTATTTGTATAGCACCAACTCATAACAAAAGTTATCTCAAGACACTTTTCAAATAGAGCAGGTCTAGACCGAACTCTTTATAACATTATTTACAGAGACCCAACAGTACCACCATGAGCAAGACCTTGGCAACAGTGGGAAGGAAAAATGTCCTTTTAAGAGGCAGAAACCTCGGACAGACCCCGGCTCTAGGTGGGTGGGTGGCCGTCTGCCTCTACCAGTTTGGGTTAGAGAGAGCGAGACAGGGAGACAGGGAGACAGAGAGAAAGTGAGGGAGAGGAAGAGGGTTGTAGAGAGGTAAAAAGAGAAGGACAGAGAGAAAGGTGCACAGCAGCAACAGTAGTAAGAAGTAACTATACTAATAGAAATGACTGATAATGATGATCATGATGATAAACATGAAAAAGATGATGACAACAACAACCACAAGAATGGGGGACGATGAACAATAATCATAGTAGCTTTAATCATAATAATAATAATAATCATAATAATAATAAAGAGAATATCAGTAATATTGGCAGCAGGCACCATCAGGATCCATGAGAACCTGTGAGACGTTAACATGCATTAATGGGACATGAATATGTGCAGAAAGAGAGGGAGAGAATGAGAGAATGAGAGAATGAGAGGAGCTCAGTGCATCATGGGAAGTCCCCCAGCAGTCTAGGCCTATAGCAACTAAGTTATGGTTCAGGACTCACCTGATCCAGCCCTAACTTTAAGCTTTATCAAAGAGGAATGTCTTATGCCTGCTCTTAAATGTGGTGAGGGTGTCTGCCTCCCGAACCCAAACTGGAAGCTGGTTCCACAGGAGAGGAGCTTGGTAGCTGAAAGCTGTGAATCTGTTCTACTTTTGGAGACTGTACGAACCACAAGTCAATACACAAGAAATATCATCTCTTTTCTTAGTTCCTGTCGGCACTACGTGATAATAAAGAGTTGCAGTAATCCAGCCTAAAAGTAACAAATGCATGGATTAGTTTTTCTGCATCCGTCTGTGACAGGATGTGTCTAATTTTTGTAATATTATGTAAATGAAAGAAGGCAGTCCTAGAGGTTTGCTTTATGTGGGAATTAAATGACAGGTCCTGATCAAACATAACTAAAAGATTCCTGACAATGGTGCTGGAGGCCAAGGTAATACCATCTAGACTAACTATATCTTTAGACGATACGTTTCTGAGGTGTTTATGACCAAGTACAAGAACTTCAGTTTTCAGAAAATTGTAGGACAACCAGGTTTTTATGTCCTTAAGACATGCTTGTAATTAGCTAATTAATTTCATCAGGTTTGATCGATAGATATAACTGGGTATCATCTGCATAACAGTGAAAGTTAATGAAGTGATTTCTAATAATGTTGCCTAAGGTAAGCATATATAAAATAAATAGTATTGGTCCAAGTACAGAACCTTGTGGAACTCCATGACTAACTTTAGTGTGCATGGAGGATTCATTGTTAACATGTAGAAACCGAGACCGAGCTGATAAATAGGACTTGAAATCCTCAAATAAGCTGTTGCTTTGTAAAAAGTCAAACTACTTTTTCGAGAATTTTAGAGAGGAAGGGAAGGTTAGAAATGGGTCTACCCACTGCGCAATGTCACGTTGGAGTGACGTCTTTTCTATGTAATTTTTGGACGTCCAATTTCGGTCCACTTAAGGGGTTGTATTGTAACACCAGGCGACGTCTTATTTTCGACGTCTAACGCTGTCTAATGTTGACGTCTTTGGGAGCTCCGTGTAAGGGCTATTTATAGTCCAAATGTGGTCGTTTGTGGATGTCTTTTCAACATCAAATTTAGACTAATTTTAGACATCGTTTTTATATACTACTTCTATAACTGTAGTCCGTGTTGTTTCATTTCACTATGTTCACGTCTGTGTTTAATGTTTATTCTGTTTACAACCTCGCGGTTGGAAGATTCAAAATAAAAAGCGGTTTCAAAATAAAAGCCGCCCAAAATAGAATAGGAAAAGGCCAAAATCCATTAATAGTAGGCCTAATATTAAAAAAGATCGAGAATCGAATAGTGACTTTCAAATCGCAAATTAAATCGAATCAAGGATTTGGAGAATCGTGACACCCCTAGCATACACATAGCCTACAAATAAATCACAATTCAATACCACCATTTCCATCTTTATTCAAAAATAATAATATTGAACACAATAATTGAATTGAACTCTTGTCCTATAGGCTTGGCTCATCAGGGTGTAGTGAATCCTCCACCTCCACATCTTTGCGGTGCGTGCTTGAGGTGCTTGGACACGTAGACCATGATGTACTCTTCAGTGGCTGCAGAGTCGAATTTCACGAGCCCTTCTGCACAAGCAGAAAAAGTGATTTAGATACAGTGGGTAGGGAAAGTATTCAGACCCCTTTAAATTTCACTCTTTGTTTCATTGCAGCCATTTGCAAAAAAGTTCATTTTATTTCTCATTAATGTACACTCCGCACCCAATCTTGACAGAAAAAAAAACAAACGTAGAAATTTTTGCAAATTTATTAAAAAAGAAAAACTGAAATATCACATGGTCATAAGTATTCAGACCCTTTGCTCAGTATTGAGTAGAAGCACCCTTTTGAGCTAGTACAGCCATGAGTCTTCTTGGGAATGATGCAACAAGTGTTTCACACCTGGATTTGGGGATCCTCTGCCATTCTTCCTTGCAGATCCTCTCCAGTTCTGTCAGGTTGGATGGTGAACGTTGGTGGACAGCCATTTTTAAGGTCTCTCCAGAGATGCTCAATTGGGTTTAGGTCAGGGCTCTGGCTGGGCCAGTCAAGAATGGTCACAGAGTTGTTCTGAAGCCACTCCTTTCAATTCAATTTTATTTGTATAGCGCCAATTCATAACAGAAGTTATCTCAGGACACTTTTCAAATAGAGGTCTAGACCGAACTCTTTAACATTAATTACAGAGACCCAACAGTACCACCATGAGCAAGCACTTGGCGACAAGGGCAAGGAAAAACTGCCTGTTAAAAGGCAGAAACCTAGGACAGATCCTTCGGCTCTAGGTGGGTGGTCGTCTGTCTCGACCAGTTGGGGGGGGAAGAGAGAGAGAGAGAGAGAGAGAGAGAGAGAGAGAGAGAGAGAGACCGACCTATAGCAACAACAGTATTGGCAACGGCAATCTAGCAGGACCATGGCAGGAGGCTCCACCAGGATCGACAAGAACCTGCGAGACGAGAAAGCACAAGAACTCCGGGGAAGAAGTGAAGTTAGTAACATGCATTAATGGAACATGAATGAATGCAGAAAGAGAGAGGAAGAGAGTGCACCATGGGAAATCCCCCGATAGTCTAGGCCTATAGCAGCGATTTCCTTTGTTATTTTAGCTATGTGCTTAGGGTCATTGTCTTGTTGGAAGGTGAACCTTCGGCCCAGTCTGAGGTCCTGAGCACTCTGGAAGAGGTTTTCTTCCAGGATATCTCTGTACTTGGCCGCATTCATCTTTCCTTCAATTGCAACCAGTCGTCCTGTCCCTGCAAGCTTGGTCAGATCTGTGCCTTGCCACAATTCTGTCTCTGAGCTCCTTGGGCAGTTCCTTCGACCTCATGATTCTCATTTGCTCTGACATGCACTGTGAGCTGTAAGGTCTTATATAGACAGGTGTGTGCCTTTCCTAATCAAGTCCAATCAGTTTAATTAAACACAGCTGGACTCCAATGAAGGAGCAGAACCACCTCAAGGAGGATCAGAAGAAATGGACAGCATGTGAGTTAAATATGAGTGTCACAGCAAAGGGTCTGAATACTTATGACCATGTGATATTTCAGTTTTTCTTTTTTAATAAATTTGCAAAAATTTCTACATTTCTGTTTTTTTTTTCTGTCAAGATGGGGTGCTGAGTGTACATTAATGAGAAATAAAATGAACTTTTTTGATTTTAGCAAATGGCTTCAATGAAACAAAGAGTGAAAAATTAAAGGGATTTGAATACTGTACCCACTGTATACGCAAAGGCAATCTGCAGTCATACACCCAAGTCCCCACATTTGTAAGCAAAAGCATATTTCCTGTGCATCCACTACCAATACTGAATTAATACAAAGCCATCTCAGCAACTGTTAACTGTAACACTTAGGCTGTCTACAAGGGACTAAGCAGACTGTACTTTTTGAGAAAGCTTAGATCCTTTAATGTGTGCATTAGAATGTTAACAGTGTTTTATCAGCCTGTTGTGCTCAGTGCAATTTATAAAAGCTGGCTCTGTGCTTGGAAACACACTGGACTCCATAGAAATTACTATTGAGAAGAGTTTTGAAGAAACAAATTCTGGATAATACACCACATCCACTACATGAACTACTTGTCAGACAGCAGACTGTTTTCAGTTGGAGGCTACTTCAACTTCAATGTAATAAGGACCGCCACAGGAAATCATTCATACCCACGTTGACGTTGACTGGTTTTTGAACTTTTGGTTGAAATCCAAAGCCCCTGATAGAGCCTGTCCACACGAATACGCGGCCTCACCCAATACGATGTCGTTTAGAAAAGTTTAGCTTCAACTGGAGTTCTTCATGGCCACACTTTGATTCCAAATAAGTACAATAATGGTATCATGTATTATGTTTTATTTTAAACAACATTCAATTATCTTTGACAACCGAAAAGAAAGAAAAATATTGGTAACAATTCAATAATTTAATTCAATAATCTGAATATAAAAATAGCGCCGATACTTACGGCACTCCTGTATTGTACCACACTCCTTGTGACAGGAGAACAGCGGCACTTACACAGAGACAGACAGACAGCCTCCGCTGCAGTGCGAACAGAACAGAAACTAAAGTATCGATCCCATTACACTGGTATCGATCAATATCAATACCAACGTTGGATCGATTCTTTTCGGAAACCACAAATAGTTGAGGCGTGATCACATTATAGTGGAAAACATGCATCTTCTCCATCTTAATGTGTATGTGGTGTGTTACAACACACAGAGTACAGATGTAATTCTTCCCAGTAAAAATCACTTGATGAAGATACAACTTTGTTACTTCCACTTTATATTAGGGCTGCCCCCTAATAGTCGACTGTGAAGAGTCTCAGTCAACATCATTTTCATTAGTCAGATAGTCGCCGAAAAACAAAAACAGCCTTGTCAGGACCAAAGAATCAGGGTATTGTTACAACACAGACGTTTTCTCTTCTAACCCAGGAAGTCTGTTACCACTGCAGTGCTGCATATGCTAACTGTACTAGCTGCTATTAGCTAGTTAGCGGTCCTGTTTGCTGTCTTTACCTGGACAGTTTCTGACACATTCAGAATCATTACCGCTGTTCACATATAGAGATTATAGATTTAAATAATGAAATAATCGTTGAGGACAATGGATTGGAATCTACTTTTATAGAGCAGCAACAGAAGTTGGTGAATGTCACTGGTGTGTTCTTCAAAGCTCTGTTTATTGTCCAGAGTGAGTCTGAGACATCTGAAGCATTCCACTGTACACAGTATGGCTGAGACAGCTACATGACATTACTACTCTAGTTCTTCTATGAGGGGTAACTAAGCTGCCTTGTTTTGTGCGCACACTAGACTGACTGTCTCTGACTTTTTTAGGCATCATGGAAATGCTTTTCATGCTTGTTACGTTTCCATTTATAAGTAGAAACATTAACACTGACAACCAATAAAGAAGAACTCAGGGAAGACGGGAGGCAGTCAAAGAAAAAGGATTTATTTACTATATTTAAGTGAAAAGGTAAATAACAAATGTAGGTTTGAAAAATGTGGGGGGAAGAGGGACCTGTGGGGGTTTGTGCCAAATAAAACAAAGTACAATCATGAAGGGCCGAGCTCAACCTTATCTGTGTGAAAAGAAAAGGGAAACAAAAGGCCTGACTGTCTCTCCTACAAAAAGTACAACAGTGGCAACAACCCATAACCTGGTGTGATAACAATTCCTTTCTACGTGTGTAGATGTAGAGGGTACCCCAGTCTTACCTCAGTCCCTGGTCCCCACCACAAACCTTCCTGCCCAACAAAGCAAAGTCAGAGAGAGAGAGAGAGAGAGAGAGAGAGAGAGAGAGAGAGAGCAAAACAAGAGAGAGGCTTTTCAAAGGTCCCTCCTTCTCTGATTGGCCGGCGTGTGAGCCAATCCACGGCTCTTTTCACAGGCTGGCAGCCAATCTTCCACCTCTCACCTGCAGGACTGGGGAGGAGAGAGAGAGAGAGAGAGAGAGACACACACACACACACACACACACACACACACACACACACACACACAAATCTATGCACGTAACAATGCTTATGCTATGGACTTTATGGGTCTATCATGCCCAGAGCTTCCAACCTAATGCAGAGGGATTCAAGATTTAAACACGTAGATTGCTAGGCAAGAGGCACAGGAACAGGAGTCCATCTCAGACTAAACGGTCTGACATTGTGGCGCATTTCGCTTCCCTTAATGATTCTTGCAAATGTTCAGTCGCACAGGAACAAGACCGACAAGCTGCAGGCAAACACAATCCATCCACACAAATACAGAGAGGCCTCCATCATGGCTTTTAGTGAGACATCATGTCTTCAGACACGGACTCAGATCTCACAATCAGCAGCTTCGGGGGCACCTATCAGACTAGACAGCAACCCAGAGGCCTCAGGGAAATCTGTCTCTGTCCCCAGTAGTGTACATATACTCAAAAGCGAACGCCCAAAATGCCACACCATCTATAGAGTGACTCAAAAACTCCAGTGCCTTTCCCCTGATGCTCTGTGCTTGTTAATGGGAGATTTTGATTTTTTGATTAAACAAATCCATTAATTTATATAGGGCGGTCACTATGCATTTATATAGCAAAATATGTAGAATTCAAAAGCTCTGTAAAATAGGTTTGGGGGTTTAGTTACTGTAATACTTACCTTGTGTATATCCATGTTAATGTAATAATGAAGTGATTTAAGTTATACTTGAGTGCTGATGTTTGTGTATTTTTTAGTTTTACACTGGTCTTATAAGTAAAGCATGTTAACATCACTTAGTGGTCCTGTATGGATGTGCTGACCTTGCTGCATAAATGGAAGGGAAAATTCTGTGAGGCCATATTTTGATGAACAGATTGTTTTGTATGTAAAATCAAAGTATAACAACTACAGCTGCAAAATAAATGTAGAGAGTAAAAGTATGAAGTACACTAAAAGGAACAGAGCCTTCTGGATATTGTTATTTCCATCTGTGAGTACTAGAGGCAAAGTTACAGGAGTCAAACTATGAGACAATTTCTGAGTTTGATTTTGGTTTGTTTTGGTTTCACAGATGGTGCACCATGAAGTCTAAGACAGTGGTTCCCAAACCTTTTCATTAAAGGACCACCTCTTTTCTATTATTGAATAAACTAAAAACCCCTGATTAGGTGACCTATTTTATAGATATTATATCCAATGCATAACAATAACTGATAAACTGGATGTGTGTTTAGTGTGAAGGAACTGTGAATATTGTTGTTATTGTTTGTGTTCAGGTGTCATATCCTTTTGAGTTGTATATCTTATATAATAAAACTTTAAAATAACAACTTCATTGTTCCAATTAATCTTTCACTGACAAGAGGAGTCTTCACTCTTCACTGGTAAATTATGTGAAAACTCAGTTATGCCGGTTCTAAGAAATCAATTTTGGCAGTGATATAGAATGACTTATATCCGGTACCCAGGGGGCAAACCCTTACTTTGAATCCGATAGACATGGAGTGTAAAAACATTGTAATCCAGATATCTAAGACCTTCTAGTGTCTGCTTTATTTGAATGACTTTGGATGTTACACTAATGTACCAGTTTTAAAGACGGGTTGCAGCAGCATTTAATCAGAAACAAATCAACTCATTTCAATGAAAATGGTACAATTGGTGTTTTTGCTTAGAGAGGTTGCATTGAGTTCAACTGTAGTGACATCTCTGCCAATCTTCTTTTCTTTTTCCTCGATGGCATTTTGACTGATTGATTTTATTTTTTTGCGGAGACCTTATGTGGTTGGCTCCTATCCACGCAACCACTGCTTCTTGTCTTAGTCAGATCTAACCAGCCGTGAGCACCTGCTTTTACCGCTGGAACTTTTACAGTCACTAGTGCAAAGTGCTAACACATGTACGTGAATGATGGTGTAAACAAAGAAATCCATATAGACGACAACTTTTTTCAGACCTGTTGGTCACAAAGCCATGGGAAAGGTTCTCAAGGATTTCCAGGAGCTAGCTGACCAGGTTCTGCACCCAGGTTGTGATCCTGGAAGGTCCTAGATGTTTTGCTCACTGGGTACAGACCTGTAACAAGGTGATGAGTTTACCACCACATTCTGAGGAATCAGAAATCAAAGTAACTACCTGCAGCAGTGAAATACATGTAGTGGAGTAGTAGTATTAATTACACTAAAATGTAAGTAGCATGTTCAAGTAAAATTCAAGACCTTTAAAACAGTATTTAAGTACTTGAATAAATATTCTTACTTTCCACCACTGCCTGACTGATACTGGAATTTGGACTTTGGTAGGTCAATATTGTTATTTCCATGTAAGAATAATGAAAATAACAGAATGAATCCGTTTATGGACTCATAGTTTGCCACCTGTAACCTGCCTCTAAGTTTGGTTTTGGCAGGCTTCATGAATTTCTTTGGAAAAAAAAACAACCCTTTCTTTGGAAAAAGGTAGAGGCGTGTCTGGTAAAAAAAACCAACCCTTTCTTTGGAAAAAGGTAGAGGCGTGTCTGGTAAAAAAAACCAACCCTTTCTTTGGAAAAAGGTGAAGGTGTATCAAACTGACAATGACATGAAAAACTATTATAGAAACCACAATAGAATGAGTAAATAACTACAGCAGTGAAATAAATGTAGTGGAGTTGAAGTATTAAGTTCTCTAAAATTTAAGTATACATTAAAATGACTGAACTGTATCTTGGCTGTCCTGTGAGGACCACAGCCTGTTTTCAGCTTTGTGACGATGCATTTTCCAGCTAATCCAAGAGCATTTTAAAATAGTTTATTTAGCTTAAGATGAAGGAGAATTTTAAAGGAACACTTCATCCTGCAGTTTATCAGTCACCCTTTTCCTGTCAATCTCAAGCTGTCTTGTCAAATGAAGGTAAAACCCCTAACCCTTCTCTTAACAATCCTATAGTGTGTTGTTTGGCACTAGATCAGACTTTTTGCTTTCAATCAATAATAGGTTGAATAATTTTGCAGATTGGACACCACTTAAGAAAGTGGAGGAATTGAAATATTTGGGTCTCTGGCCTGATAGTCAACTTCGTTTTAATCCAAACTAGTGCAGTGCCCATAGGAAGTATGTATTGCTATAGAAAAGTGGGAGGTTAAGTAACTTTTTCATGGATGGCCAAATGAGGTTGTGTTTGAAGGTGGGACGTCAGGGACATTTAGGTTTGTTGTGAAATGTGTAGATTGATAACTATTGTGTTTTCATATAATTTGGTTTTTAGCAAGGACACTGTAGGGAGTTGAACCCCATTCCACTAATGTGAAAGTACCACACCTCATGGTCAGCGCATATAAATTCTGAAAGAACAAAGTTAACAACATCTGAAATGGGATGAAACCTGGCAGCATAAACAGACTAACTTGTAGCATAGCCTAGTAAATAAACTGGGCAGGACATATTATTTAGCCCTGTAATATAGGAGAGAGAGAGAGAGAGAGAGAGAGAGAGAGAGAGAGAGAGAGAGAGAGAGAGAGAGCAATGGCAGTAAGGGTTTCCCCATCAAAAAATTGTTTTGAAACTACCAAAATAGTGTGAACGGATAAGCCAACGGTGCAGAGCGAGGGCGTGTCGGTCAGACAGTGTGATAACTGCACAGGTCTCTCACTCAACTTAATACAGAGAAATATCCCACAAAGCAACGTTACAGGACCAAACAACAGTAACGTAGTAACTGGAACTGTCTTTGGAAACTTACATGAGGAAAAAAAATACCACAGCTGTACGTGGAGCAGCGTCTGTCCTCCTGTCTGTCCTCCTGTCTGTCCTACCGACTCTTCCGTCACAAAAAACAGCTTCTGTCACCGGAGAAAAAACAATCAAACATTCTCTGTCCTGCGAGTGAGGGAGTCAGTTTACTGCTGGTGATTATTGTGTAATAATTGTGTCATTTAGAGTGAAAAACGTAACTTGGTCACTTTCCAGGATGTTTGGTGGGTCAGGATCTCAATCAGTACACATTATAACAGCATCCATATGATTATAAAGTGTCTGCGGGTTTAGATTGACAGGGGGAGACAACTGGGAAACACCTTCAACACGCGCTCTGCAGTGATTGGCTCTGGTGCGCACGTGGCTATGGTGGCTATCGTTGACAATGCTAGGAATTCGGAAATAATTTATGAAATAATTTATTAACGGTATCTTTGTAATCCAAACAAAGCCGACGTTGCACACCCTTAAACCACACAGCTCTCAGGTCAGTCTGATCCTGATCTGCAGAGATATTTGAGGCACACACACACACACACACACACAGAGACAGACAGAGATTTCTTGCTTTATAGATAGATATTAAATCCAAACAATTGCTGCCTGAGAAGGTGATATTGCTCCATTAACTGTTTCACCCTACAGGTCAGGGAAATAATTATTTCACAGTTTCTGAATTATGCAGATGTTGTCTCAGAATACCAAAAACTACATTAAGTGGAATCTTGTTCCACTTAATGTAGTTTTTAATAGTCTCTGGGGTGTCCTTATAGAACCTATCACTGTCTTATGTGTGAGTAGTTAAATTGGTTAACACCAAAATCCTTAAGACATTTTCACTGGTTGCAATTTATTTCTAAATATATTTTCTTTAACTTTCTTTCTTACTTGAAACAACTTTTAATTCCATATAGGACATCCTGTAGTTTAAGATACACTGAGCTTCCCTTTCTCTTTGTTTAAATACAATTTAAAGCTCTATCTGATTGGAACAACCTGCTCAGTTCAGTTTGATCTATTATCTAATTCATTATCTATTCATTCAATAAGTCATCCATTTTGACTGAGCTTCAAACAACCTGCTAATTTTACCTCATGTCTATATAGATTTGTATGGGATGGGTACATTTACTGTATGTGTATGGTCAGTGTGTGTGGGAGTGGCTAGACCTGGGCCAGTTGTTGTCTGTGTATGTTTGAGTGTATCTGTGTTGTTTAGTTGTTTTATGTACTGTATCCTCCCTTGAAAACAAGAGGGTTCATCTCTTTCACTAAATGTTAAACTTAGATTGCACATGAGATTATGAATGAAGAAAAGGACCTGAGGTTTATTTAAAATAAGAAATTGTTTGTGTTCTTTATTGGGATAATATTTTCCACAAATTACATCCAACATGCAAACCATGCAGACATTTCATTTGGGCCTTTTTAGGATTTCTTCAACAAAAGCAAATTTACAAAGAAAGGGGTTTATATCTGATTTTATATTAATGTTATTTGAACTAAATAGAAACACTTGTGTCTTCACATTCTAGTTGAGGATGACTGCTCCACTGCGGTTGTTTAATGAGATTCTGCCCTCTGGTGGTCACAGGACTAATCTGCAACAGTAAGTTCCAGCTCATTTTTCAGTAGTTGTCCATCACACAACTACTGTTGATTCTCATCTAGGTCACTGTCAGTCATTACTGTGCTCATTCTGATTACAAGCAGCAGCCAGCTATATGTTCACAGCTTTGGCCCCTGGATTTACTACTCAGGCTACATAGAGGCTACTGCTCTACCCTCTGATTGGTTGAGGTTATACCTACTGTGTGACAGGAAGACTTGCAAACACTACTCAGGGGCATAAAAACACTACAAATTCCTTTTTCTGTTTTTAGGGTAAATAAAGAATTGAATATATGTTATTTACAGTAAAAAAAAAAAGGTTACTGAACTGTAGCCTGTGCTTTTTGTATTAAAGAACTAAATATATATTTGTCATAAATCAGGACACAGTCAAACCTAGCCTTGTGCTAACGTCAGTGTCTAACCTACAAAGTTTATTTTTATCATCACTACATTAAAGCAGGTTCCAGCTGACACACTAGTTTTTACGTTGTTTCGAAAAAAATCTCCGTATACACCAGAAATATCTGCGTCCACACTGATTCACTGAAACGTTCCAAAACACTGTAGTACATATGCCTGTATATGGCGCTGTGACCCCGCCACACCAATACACTAAAACCGCAAAAGAAGCCATGGAGCATGCGCTGTTTACAAACAAGTAGTAGTAGTCCGCCATCGTTGTTGTTGTTATGATGCGTCTAGCGGCGGCGGCTGAGGTTAAAGGCTAGAGAGGCGGGGCTAATACTCATCGTTTCGGAAAAAAATCAGTTTTTGCCGTCTAGACGACTCCGGGCAATCCGGAATAACGTTTTCACACCCCGAAAACGCTGTATCCGTCTGGACGCAAGGCCTATATGATAAAGTATTTATCTGGATTCGAAAAAAACATATTCGTGCGGACGGCCCCTTAGTTATTAAATATTTACACCTTCTACCTGCCACGTGTAACTGTTTATAACTGTGTAGCTAAAGTTAGCATGCTAATATCTGATCACAGAGATTGGTATTGGGATCGATGATGATGCTGATGCAACTTAACCTTAATGTGTGCTACTGCAAGTATCCCTGCACCTCCTAGCAGACCTCCAGCTACTGCTCCAACTGGAACACCTATTGCAGCTGCAAATGGGACCTTCAACATAGAAAATACTGTTCCTCCAAGAGTGGCTCCACCTAGAGCAGAGGCACTAACACAGAATGCGACTTTCCTCCTAACTCCCCAACCTTTTCCCTCTTTCTCAGGCTCTTCCTTTTCCTTGGTGTAGAACTTTTCTCCATTTTTCTGAACCATATTGTTGATGTGCTGCAGAAGCTCAGTGCGTTGAGATGGACTCTCATCATTGTTCTTAATGACATGGCAGTTTCCTTTACAGTCATCAACAAAGTTTGTGAGATCACTTTCTCCAACAAACTCTTCTATGGTTCCCTCCAGTTCCTCTCCACCGGTGAACAGAACCATCGTGTAAAGTGTAACGTTTTTGCTGAAAGTCTCCTTAAACATTTCCACTGCTTTCTGTTCCGGGGTTGTAAATCTGTCTTTACAGGAAAGCACAAAGAGGAAGACATGAGGACCAGGAGCAGCATGGGACAACACCTCCTCTTTCTCCTCCTCCAGACTCACTCTTTCCAAATTGCACAGATCAGTTTCAACAATGACAACATTTTGTTGTCCGATCTTTACTTCTTTCCTCTGACACTTTTTTGTCCCAGAGGAACATTTCTCATTTTCCTCTGAGCTCCCGAGGAGAATCTTCCTCACTGAAGTAATCCGATTTTTTCCCCTGCCAACGAGCACAATCCTCAGCTCTGAAGGATCTGTTTGAAAAAAATAACAAAGACATCAGTGGATACTCACATCTCTTAATGCAGTCGAAGTAGCAAATTTACTTAAGTAAAAGTACGTGTTCATCACATTAATGTTGCAGCTGATAAAGGTGAATCTAATTTTAATTATTTGATATATTGCTGGGTAGCTTGTGAATTTTCCCCCAGATATTTTTATTTTATCTTGTATTCCAGCTTTTGTTGTTGGTAAGTTTTGAAGGATGTTTATTCAGTTTTGTTATTTTGGTGCAATACCCAAAAGGGTCAGTAGGTGGCAGCCAGATGTTTGGGAGCCAACTGAGACTCTGTTATGTGCTCTCTTTGGCTCTCTTGTCATTCCGCACAAGAAGGAACCTCTGTGGCGTCATATGAAGCAAACACAAAAGTCAGAAAACTGCAGTTCTGCTAACGTCCACTAGAAGCTGTCTCCAGCAGTGAGTCAGTTTCCATAAGGCCACACGTTTACAGCCTGGTACAAAAAACTCTTTTGGTCTCTATAGCTTATTTCCCTGTTCATGAAAACTGCTCAGACTCTTATTATGTATAGAAATGATTGCATTTTTCATGGCCGCAACACGGTCGAAAAGTTATGATGATTGATTATGCTATGTGTGCTTAGGCCTCAAACACAAAGCAAAATTCTGTTTTGTGTTTCTTGTGTAGCCACAGACATCACCAGTCAGTTTATGATCAAAGTGAAGCTAAGACGGACACTGACAGTGGCGGTACAGAAGCTGTTGTGTCGTCTGTATCCAGCACAGTAAAAGCCTGGACAGTGGGCCTAGCAGGGAGAAAAATCTTATGCTGTCTGTTAGATGGAGGCAAATAAGCTTCATTCTTGAAAATGTAGTGAAAGCGCTGAGGTTCCCAGTGGTAAGGCAAAAGACCTTGCATCTACACACCTTTGGATCCAGTGCTCCTAAAAACGATAAAACCAAAATGTAACTTGCTCTAGCACAAAGCTACTACACTCCTGTAGAGTCTCTGTGAACTGAACTAATAAATGATTGGGTTGTGCCTGAATAAGTCTTAACTTTCTCCAGCTAAATGTAGACAAAACTGAGATCTCTCATCTTGACTCATTCTCTGAAATAATCTTGGACTTAACTTAGACAGATGTGTCAAATTTCAAAATCTTTATTCTACCATCTTAAAAACATTGCATATATCATGGGATTCATATCTTGGCAGGACCTTCCACTTCCAGCAGGTTAGGACAAAAAATCTTCAGACAATTCATTCAGCTGCGCCTAGAGTCCTAACAAAAACCAAAAACAGTGAACACATCACACCAGTTCTCAGGTCTCTGCACTGGTTTCCAGTGTGTCACAGGATAAAGTCTATAAATCTTTATATAAATTTTATTTTATTTATATCTCAGTTCTTAGCTCTTTAATTTCCTTTAAAATTATCTTGTGCATTGTGGAAAGCACTTTGAATTGCCTGTGTAATGTACTATTCAAATACACTTGCACTGCACAAAATTGAATTGTGTTTTTCTAGATTTCTGGATATGCTGTCAAAAAAAACTGAGTTGACAGAGATTCCCCTTTATTTGACAGATTTTTTTCCCTGTATCTTTTAAATACCTGGAAATATTAATACAATTGTAAAGATAGCCTGTGAATTTACATGTCTAATGTAAAATAGCATAAAAATCTGTAAATGTAAATAATCATAAAATTATTGCTTATTTAAAATACATTTCCAGTTTTTCACATAAAAAGATTAAAATACATTTGCAAATTACAGAAATTTGCTGTTCATTTAATAGATGAAACTGTTGAATTCAAGTTTAATAGTGTTAATACATTTCTAAAATTATAAAAAAAATAGTGACAACAGTAAAAAAAAAAGCATTTTACATTTGTTAACTGACAGATATCTTGTATAATTATGGAAGTGTTCACAACAAAAACATTGAATAAATGTTTTTTATCAGTGTATAAGCTTTGGCAAACTATCTTTTTAGTCAGAAGTATAGTGTTGAATACTTATGGCAACTGACAGCTGAAAAAGATCCTGCATCATGGATCATAGTTCCCTCCCCTGGAATACACATCTACTACTCCTAACCAAAATATGACCAGTCACAGATCAGAAATGAAAATGTAGCTACAAGCAACAAATCAGGGGGCAAATCTACCTGTCACCTTCTGCACCCTAACACTCCACTCCACAATACTGGAACATATACTTCATATCATATGTGTTAATATAAACCATGTTGATATTATATAGCATATTTATACAATATTATTATCTTTTTTCACATTTCTATTTACATATTTATATTCATAAGATATTACTTATTGTATGTATATTTTGTATATTCAAGTATCTATTATACATATGCTATAAATCATTCCATATCTCGTGTTTATATATATATCTCATCTCATGTCATCTTCATCCGTTTATCCAGGATCGGGTCGCGGGGGGAGCAAGTCCCCAAACTTCCCTTTCCCTGGCCACATTGGCCAACTCTGACTGGGGGATCCCGAGGCGTTCCCAGGCCAGTGTTGAGATATAATCTCTCACGTGGCAAAGGAGAAGCGGCTCTACTCTAAGTCCCTCTCGGATGACTGAGCTTCTCACCCTATTCCTAAGGGAGATGCCGGCCACTCTCCTGAGGAAACCCATTTCGGCAGCTTGTATCCACAATCTTGTTCTTTCGGTCATGACCCATCATGACCGTAGGTGAGGGTAGGAACAAAGATCGACCGGTAGATCAAGAGCTTACCCTTTCGGCTCAATTCTCTTTTCGTGAGATAAAGGGACCGCAATACCGCCCCTGCTGCCCCAATTCTCTGGCCAATCTCCTGCTCCATTCTACCCTCGCTCTTGAACAAAACCCAGAGGTACTTGAACTCCTTCACTTGGGGTAAGGACTCACTCCCTAACCAAGACCCGAAGAAGGACAATCCACCGGTTTCCTGCTGAGATCCTCCTGCTGATCCTCATCCCAGCTGCTTGACACTCCGCTGCGAATGCTGAAGGTCACAGGCCGATGATGCCATCAGGACCACATTATCCGCAAAAAGCAACGATGCAATCCTCAGCACACCAAACTGCAACCCCTCCCCCCATGGCTACGCCTCGATATCCTGTCCATGAAAGTCACAAACAGGACTGGTGACAAAGCGCAGCCCTGGCGGAGGCCAACATCCGCTGGAAATGAGTCCGACTTACTACCAAGAATCCGGACACAACGCTCGCTTTGGAAATACAGCGATTGGATGGCCCTGAGAAGTGACCCCCTCACCCCATACTCCTGTAGCACTTCCCACAGGATATCCTGGGGAACCCGGTCATCTGCCTTCTCCAGATCCACAAAGCACATGTAGACTGGATGGGTACACCTGCAAGAGTGAAGACTTGGTCTGTTGTTCCATGACCAGGACAGAACCCGCACTGTTCCTCTTTGATCAAAGGTTCGACAATCAACCGGACCCTCCTTTTCAGCACCTTAGAGTAAACTTTCCCTTTTTAAATAGGGGAACCACCACCCCAGTCCGCCAATCCTTCGGACCTGTCCCTGACTTCCATGCAATGTTGAATAGGCGTGTCAACCAAGATAGCCCCTAAGAGGCTCTTCAACACTTTGAACAGACTGTAACATACAAGGATGTCGACTGCCAAGTTGAGTTACCATGGTGACCTGACCTGATCTCCCAGACAACTGTAAAGTGGCAAAAGGGTTTGAAAGCCTCCAAAAAAGACTAAAAACAGATGCAATCTTGTACACAAAGTACAATGATCTCCTATAAGATTACCTGTAGCAAGGTATTTGTGAGGATGTACTAGAGAACACTGCTGGTTAGTATGGAGATCAGAGGACTGCTAGACATTTTAAAGGCAAAGAAAACACAAAGAGATATGTGCCACAGACAGCTTCAGCTTCAATATTCGACCCCTTCGGTTTCCTCACTCCATTTACCATAAGACTAAAGTGCCTGTTTCAAGATCTGTGGAAAAACGATTGGGATGAGCAGTTACACCCAGACTTGACTGAAAAATGGGCTCAGTGGTGTGCAGAGGTGGCAAAAACAACCCTGCTGATTTACCCACCAGAGGCCAAAGCATCGAGAACCTCATCCAAAGCTAGCTATCTGTCATCAACTGATGAAGCAGAGAGCATTGACAACTTACACACTGTACAGAAGAGGGAAACAGCTGTCAAAAGGACTCCCAGACAGAATTGAAATCAGTGTGAGATACTTAGCAGATAGATAGCAGAACTGTTTCCAGAGACAGATGGACTCTTTCATGATGAAAAGGATGTCTGTAAGGATGAAACTTTGTTCTGAAATTCTGAAAATGCCAAAGCGAAAGACCTCCTTTAACCCGTAATGGGCAAAAGAACACGGGTTTGTGACAAAAAGTAGCCTTCTGTGGCCTCAACCAGCCTCTGTCCTGCCTCTGTCCTGCCTCAACTAGCCTCTGTCCAGCTTCTGACCTGCCTCTGTGAAGCAACCTTGAGGACTCACAGTCACAGATGAGTATCTGAGTCCATCTGTGACTGCCTAGGCAAAGACTATACATCTGAAACAGGTGCTGTATTTTTATTTTTTTTAATCTATTCAGATAAGAACAGTTTCTCTTTGATGTTTATTAGACTTATGTAATCTGAATTGGAAGGGCACGTTGTCATGAGCTGTATCTTTTATACTTATTATTAGCTATGTGGTATGTGTATGCACCTTATGTAATCTGGTGGAAAAACATTAAAATTTAAAACCGGATCATACCAAACAAATATCTGCTTGCGTGTCCCTGTGTATGCAAAGTGTCCTCCTTTTTGATGTGAAAGAAATGGCCACCCTAGCAGCAGCGCAAATTTAAGAAGACAACAAAACATAGCATGGCGGATGGCAGAGGAGAAGCAGACGAGCGAGAAATTTTCAAGCCACCATTGCGGTCCAGTGTGTGGAAACACTTTGGCTTTTGCAAAGACAGAGATGTTCTAAATAAGTCGCTCGCTGTTTGTAGGATATGAAAAGGTCAAGTAAAGTACAACGGCAACACGACAAATCTCTCCAACCACCTACTAAGGCGCCATGGGATTTCACACAACACCGACCGTCCAGGCACCTCTGCAGAAGCCTCAGGCCTCGCCTGCATGTTTAGTCAGAGACTAGGCCAAAACTCAGCTCGGACGAAAAACCTCACAGCAACAATTGCCAAGTTTATCTGCAAAGATATGATTCCCTTACAAGGAACGACAAGAATCTAGGAAACTTCAGCTGCACTGTCCAGTATCCAGGTATTTATTTCAGTCACACTGGTTGAATTTTTGGCTAAAAAGTTACTGAATCGATTTCAAGTCACTGAATCGTTTCGGATCGTATCGTTCTAAATTAACCAATATCGTCCTTGAATCGTATTGACAACCACGAATCGTGATACGAATCAAATCGTTGTTAAAACGAATCGTTACACCCCTAGTTGACATGAATGCCAGACGAAAGATGAAAAAGCCCATTTTGTTTGTTTAGCCCATTTTCTCTGTATTACTGCAGCACATTGATCAGTAAAATATTCAATTTGAACTACATACTATCCCCGTTGGTCATCATTTGAAGCTTCCTCTACACAACTTGTGTCTTGCCCATTTTTTATTTAACACTTTTTTGACTGGATTTCAAGTCACTGTGGCCTGAGATAACTAGTGCTGGCACTACACAAGTAAAACAAAAATTTAATTGAAATCCACATTTAAGGAATTGATTCTCAAGTTATGTAATCCTATTACCCTGTATGGATTTTCCAAATATTAGATTAACTAGTAGACCTCAAAAACAAAAACTAAGAAACACTGCACTCGTGGGTGAAGGGTGAAGGGTGAATTAAGTAGGGCTGCCCTCTAATAGTTGACTTAACTGCGTTCAGGAGCTGTGACTGAAGTATCAGAGGATTGTTGCAACATGGAACTTTTCTCTTATAACACAGGAAGTCTCTTACCGCTGCACTGCTGCATATTGTTAGATCCCGAGTTACCCCCGTATAGGTGGTACTGGACCAGCTCTCCGTTCAAAGGGTCCGATCTTCTAGCCTGTGGGTATTACCCTGCCAGGTCTCAGCAGAGGACTGTTTAAGCTGGTGGCGAGGAGACACGCCTAACTTCTAACTGCCTTCATCCAGACGCCTACCCTGCTCACTCTAGTGCAGCACCTGACTGAATAGCCCTAGAGTCAAATATTACACTAGCCACGTCCGTTCATGGCAGCTTTCCTCTTATTGTCTCTCTTATTCTCTTGTAATCTAAATTTCAAACCCGGATGAGAAGGCTGTAGCTGAAAGGTTAAATGTCTAGTTTGAAGAGCGAGAGGGAAGGGGTGTACGGCCAATACAGTCCTCGCTTGCCTGCCGTACTGTTGATTGCTGTTGAAACTCCCAACTTTATCCAAAGTCCACAAAGTCTCTGACCAGTTCAGTCTCTGCTGGCAGGGTGAACAAAAGGGCGATCTGATGTGGTCGATCGATCAGAGTGCGCTGAACCCGAGAGCCGGCCTAGGACTAACCACGATCCTCTCTGTGTAGCGTCTTTTATCCCCCTTGTCTCCCAGTGTGTGTCCTGTTCGTCGTACAACTTCCCCTTTTGCTCCTCACCCGATGCATCCTGTTTGTGCCATTCAACTTCCTGTTTGGTTATGTTGTAAGATGTGCCTCATCAAGTTACTCAATATTTCAACATGTTTAACCTACTGTTATGCATTCATACTCATTAATCAAATAAGTAGTTACGATCATATAATCTTGTTTCCCTTTCATTGTTACATATTTCATTTTGTAATATAGAATCAACTTCAATCCTTATACATAATATAGAACCAACTTCAAGCATTATACAGCTTTTGGTTATTATAATCTTAGTGCCGAAGTGGTTTTAGCGGATCAGGGATCTCAACTTTCTTGACAATATGCTAACTGTACTAGCTGCTATTAGCTAGTTAGTGGCCGTATTAGCTGCCTGTACCCAGGCTGGCATTCGGAAGGACAGTGGGAATTTAAACACTACTAGGGTAGGAGCCGAGGGACCCAGTGGCTCACTGCCTAAACGGAGGCCAGCTGATGTCCAGCAGCTCCGACCAGGACTCTGACTCTGGGGATGACAGCAGATGTCTTCTTTATCTAGTTTATCTAGTTTCTAACATAGCTTTTATTTTTTTAACACTATTTAATGTTTATATTATTGTATTTTCTTATCGTATTGTAACATTTATTTTAACTAGTTATTATTTAGTTTTTATTTGTCTATTGCAATCCGTCGTACAACTTCCCCTTTTGCTCCTCACCCGATGCCTCCTGTTTGTGCCGTTCAACTTCCTGTTTGGTTATGTTGTAAGATGTGCCTTCTCATCAAGTTACCCAATATTTCAACATGTTTAACTTACTGATCAAATCAGAGGCCAAACAAAACGTCGTCAAACTAAATACATTTTCTGTTGGGTTTGACCACTAGTTTACAAGTTCTATTTGTTTTTATGTTAAGATTGTTTTACATGCAACTATTCACATGTGGTATGTGTGCTGTGGCATTTATTTCCTGTAGACCTATGCATTATCCAGCCAGATTATCAAATGTACCTGGTAAATGGGCTACGTTAGAGAAAAAGAATGTCTTGGGTTAGAAAAGGGACATTTGAAGAATTAATTTTCCAGGAGGGCCAACCTGGAGTGTTTAATCAATGTCCTTGTTAACGCTGAGGTAGAAGGAGCTTATGTTTGTTGTGTGCATCAGCATCACCGAAGAGAAAGTGGCAGATGGAAAAATGAATTGGCTTACCTGTCAGCCCCTGGCTAAGTTCCCAGCACAGAGCAAGATGATTTTTATGGCCCAAATCAGGGGAGATGTTTGACAACAGTTGAATATGCCATCAGTTATAGGTCCAGTCTGTAACATTTAGGAGGAGCTATTGTCAGAAATGGAATATACACTGTTGGCCATAAAGTTGGAATAATTTTGTTTTCAGACACATTCCTCTTTATATTCCTATTTATGCACATCAGTAATCACCTTTGACCAGGTGCAATGATCACATACTGAGTCCCAGTTACCCAGGTGAAACTAATTCAATTTAAACGATTGTTTGGTACTATAAAAGGCAAAACATTCGCTGTGTTGTCCTTTTCCTGCTTAGAGTCTGTATGCAGTTCCACGTTTTCAGAATTGGCTGTATAATTTTCAGCCAAATTTTCAACCAAATACGTCAAAGAGTGCTTGCACTCCGACATGACGGACACAAACAAACCAACATTGCTGATTTTCTTGGAATATCATATATGGGGTGTAGCCTGTAAAATCCTCAAACATCATCCAGAGGAGGGTCATTTGAGGCCACGAAAATCTCCAGGACAACCACAGTTGAGATGATCAACAACTGCTTAATCTGTGCCGTAAAAATAGGAAAATGCAAGCAAGCCGCCTTCGTCGTTTGTGGAGAAGACACCATGGAGTCAACGTTTCGCGCCAAACTGTAAATCAAAGATTGCTTCAGCATGGTTACCGAGCAAGACGAATGACCAAGTGTCCACACCTAACCGTTCAACACAGAGTTGCTTGACTTCGCTGGGCTAGGGAGCACAGAAGATTAGAGCTTGGGCACTGGCAACATGTTGTCTTTATGGATGAGAGCCGCTATATCCTTCACTGTATAGATAAGATTATTTTTGGCCCACTGCCCATGCTCGAATTGTTAATACTTTTAACTATTATTATGTGCCAGCAGTCGGAATATCTCTTTTATTATTTATTTATTGTTGCACTTCTTCTCCTGACCACAAATTAACATTGTATTACATTGGGGTTAGGGTGGCGCTGTTGAGCTCCCGTCAGCTCAAATCCGACCGGCCGTGACCACAGAGTGAAAAGATCTTCTTCGTCTTCTTCTAATGGCGTTGCTTAGCAACCAACGAAAAAGAGTGAGAAGATGCTGTGATGGAGCGCGGGAGGCAGTGGCACTGTGATAAGAGAAAGTTTAAAAAAACTTGAGAACATGAGTACTTTTTCACAGAGATTGATTCCGTGGCAGTATGTTTGATTTGTAAGCAGAGAGTCGGTGTTTTAAAAGAATACAATATTCGTCGCCATCACGAAATTCCATTCCCATCAGTTCTCAAAATACACTGGAGAGGAGAGAAAGGTGAAGACTGGAGACCTGATAGCAAAGCTAATTTCCCAACAACGCACCCTTCTCCAGCCCTCAACTGAACAGGAAAATGCCACTCGGGCAAGTTATCATATTTGCTCCCTCATTGTCCGAAGCGGACGACCTTTCGCGTTGGGTGATTTTGTAAAACGATGTCTGACAGTTGCTGCTGACACCGTGTGCCCAAATCAGACGGGCAACAATGTAATATTTATTTTCATTTTCATTAGTATATAATCACCTGAAAATAAGAAAATAAGAATCTTTGCATCCATGGAGTCTGCCATGTTGAATTGCCAAGACAGTAGCCCAGAGTCTACCCTTGTCTTTGTCCCTCACCAGCGTACCAGATCTCATGGGGGAGATGAGGATTGATGTAGTGATTGCAGTGTAGAACTGCATCATCATCTTTGGGAGGTTGAACTTGCAGCAGGATGTACATGCTATGCTGTGCATTGTTAGTGAGGGAGCTGATGTTCACCTGACACTTAAGGTATTGGGTGATGGTGTGAAGGAAGCAAAAAGATTCCACAGTGTGTGAGCTCCAGACAAAGTCAAGGAAATCAGAGACTGTTGTGACCACATCTTGTGACAACAGGGACCTGCAACCGACCAGACAGTGTGCAGGACGAGAAGAGCCAGACTCTGTGTCTACATCAATGATGCTTGGTGCTCAAACACAGTGAAACTGGATGGACACTTTTTATGTGAAGATGAAACCATATTATCATCACTGCCTTGTTGCTGTTGTTTACATTCCCCCAGATATAAATGCAAAAAAGCCACTGCATTATTATTTCAGTATACATCTGTATCTGTATATATGTATATACATATCTTTTTCTATGTGTGGCATGAAGGGACCGTAAACTTCCATTTTGTTGTTCAACCTTGTGTTGTAAAATGATCATAAATGTCCTTGATCCTTGATCTAGTCTAAATACTTCGTAAGACTATTTCAGTTTTATGCTAATATGTTGCATATTCCTAATGTTATGTGTTTAATCAAACTACCACACAGCAAATATGGGCCCAGGTCTTATTCCAGCACAGAATTAGTATACAAGCACTGCAAAGAGAGCGGGAGGGGCAGGGTTTAATAGGCATGCTTGGATCAACCTGCTGGGTCCTGCTGACACGTTGTTCCAACCGTGTGCCAGATATAGAATAATCATTAACTAGCAGGAGAATAAAGGAAAATAACAGCCTAAAATGAAACCTTGTGGCACAGCCAACATAGAAACACAGTTTACAGTCTACCAGAGAGCAATGGAAACCACTGGAGTTAGTGCCACGTTATTTGTTATATGCAAAAGAGTAATATATATTAGGGATGTCCGATAATATCGGCCCTCCGATAATATCGGCCGATATTCACTAAAAAATGTAATATCGGGAATTATCGGTATCGGGTTTTTATAACCGATGTTTGTTCTGTAGGCTTCAGCATTTCCGAGCCTGCATGAACGCAGCATGGGACGTTTACCGGCGCGCGCTAGATGACGTATAACAACAACAACTACACTAGACTGGTTGGTTGCTAACTGTGGCTAACAAGCAAACAATTTAAAGCTGAATGATTTTAATATTAACACAAAATAAGTTCAATGCACCTTAAATATTTCACCCTGCTCTGAGCTGTTCCTTAACCAAACTAACAATTGGCTTAGAATTTACATTAGCACTCCTTCAGGTGAATAATACAATTAAACACATTAACCAAAGCTAGCGATTAGCTAGCGCTTAGCGTTAGCACTCTTTTCAGTATTAATACAATGAAAGTTGAAGTTGTTCTTTTATTTTCCACAGACAGTGTTTACATTTGGAAAGCCATGTTGCATTTATGTATGTATCCAGTGTGTCGGGTGGCCATTCATCCAGCTTTAGGCCAGACAGTCCGGTTTTTAAACCCCCTGTGGACACTCGTTTGTCCTCCTTTTGAGAAAATAACTAAAAAGCCTTCTGACACATTACCTCGTTAGTTTAATACTTATTGGCTAAAAATGTGTGTCAAAATAAATAATTTCATTGGTTACATTTTGGTGTGGTGACCTATCAACACATGGCTCATTTAAATATTCAAATGAGCCATGTGCAGTTGCTAGGTTACCACCAGGCTGTCAATCAAGCTCTCAGCGACAGAGAACGTAAAGTGAGCTAACGTCAGTTGTTGGACTGAAATTCTGAAAATGCTCATACTCAGATGTATTCATGAATATCAGATGATGTCACAAACGTATCCTCACCTGAAGTCACTCACATTCTAACTTGTCTGCCGCCATGTTGAGTAACGTTACCTGATTCGGTGAGATATGTTGTGCGGTCGGGTGCAACAACAAAAAAGGAGACCCCAAAATATCCTTTTACAGACTACCGAAAAAACTACGAAAAAAGAATTCATCAGTGGCTTGCAGCCATCAAGAGGGCAGACT